CTTCGCTTGCGGATTTCTTATATTTTTCTTCTACTCTGAAGATGGAGGCGATACGTTCCTCCGAAACGTCGGTTAACACCACATATACGCGGTGCCAAATCCCAGAAGACTGCTTTCTTCATTGTCACCGCTGTGAAAGCCTCAAATCTTACAATCCTGAATGTGTCCAATAACTTCATACACGACGTTCGTCTTGCTGAGAGAGCTGATTCCATTAAGCGGAGTCCTTCAGATGCTACTAGTGGTTCAGGTAGTCGAGATTCACTAACTTTTATGTAACTCATATGTTCATTACCGTTTTCACAAAATCCTGCCACTGTTCCCTATCCTAAGTGAAATGAATCCAGTTCATAACTTCCAAACCTCTTTCTTAAGCATACGTTTTAATATTATTCTTCTGTATAGGCGAATGCCTTACAAGTGGTCTGTTACCCTCAGGATTTCCAACTCAAAATTTTCTATTCGTTTATAATATCCTCTATACGTACTACATGCCACGCCCATTCCATTCTCATTAATTTTGTCACCCTAAAAATATTTGGTGAAAGTACAAATTAACCCCACTCTGGGCATGCATGTACTCATATATCTGCGTCTTCTCTGTTTTCTTGTCGTCCTGCGTAGCTAGAGGCCATGCTTCGGGCTGATCCCCCATCCAAGGAGTCGTACCAACTGTCTGCATGACTAACATTTTTCAGATTAATTCTGAAATGAGAGTAGGTCAGAGGCCCCGGTCTGTGGGAGGAACAAGAAGTATAGCCGGGATAGCGCAGTCTGTATAGCGGCTGGCTACGGGCTGCATGACCGAGGGGTCGGAGTTCGNGTGTCGTCCTGTGTAGCTAGAGGCCATGCTTCGGGCTGATCCCCCATCCAAGGAGTTGTACCAACTGTCTGCATGACTAACATTTTTCAGATTAATTCTGAAGAGAGAATAGGTCAGAGGCCCCGGTCTGTCGGAGGAAGAAGAAGTATAGCCGGGATAGCGCAGTTGGTATAGCGGCTGGCTACGGGCTGCATGACCGAGGGGTCGGAGTTCGAATCTCGGTAGGGTGAAGAATATTCTTTTCTCCACGTCATCGAGACCGGCTCTGGGGCCCACTTAGCCTCCTATCCAATGAGTACCGCGGTAATTTACCTGGGGTTAAAGCGGCTGGGGCGTGAAACTGATCACTCACCTCCATTAATGCCGAAATTAAAAAGTGTGATGCTTCCTCATAAGTGTCCATGGCATAACAATTTTACCTTCTACCTTATTTTGGAATACACAGCACATTGACACCGGTGATTACAATATGTTGGCGGCTCCTCAAGAAGGGCTCAGCTCCATAAGTAAGTTGTTATATACGTCCATTTACTGTGGGAATGTTGTCATACCTGTATCCAGACAGATGCCCATAGTCCAGTATAAACCTCCGCAGCTCTACTGGCAGCTGGTGAGTCACTTCTCACTGTTCATTCGATGTAATTAGATGTAAATGTTGTAATTCCTCTAGACGAATAACAGAGTTTGTGGCTTGTATCCCGGCACACTGGCAAATCAAAATCTCACTTCACGTTTGTGTAACTACATCACGTTCCCGAGTTCATCATCTCGTAAAGTAACTACATTGTCTATTTAATGATGCTACACCTCTGCCTCGATTCATTTCCTTTTTTTAATCATGCTTCATCAGTCCTTTCCTCACATGCCATAAGAAAGTATTAATTTCAAACTTTATTTTAAGCTGTGAGTTTTGTGTTGAGCATCGAAATTACCAGCGGTTTCCTGAACTGAGAATCGTTTGTACAGATTCTTATAAACACTAGATGTATTGGTAACCACATTCATAAGACTGTTAATTGATAATATGTAAAAAATGTGCAGAGTCTCAAACGACAAGTTATCACGTTTCACAGAACACCACTTTCATTATAGTGTTTGTATGTGTTTAGTTATCCAGGTTTTCGGTTTAGTAATTGCTGCCTCTCCAAAGCACAACTTACATTACAGTGTTATCCTACCAATGGCCACTGGTCAACTGATGCACACATGGAAATCGTTCATTCGATTCGAGAGGTTGGGTGAAGAATTGACTTTGCTTCTTTTGAATAATATATGCGTCCTTCCAACCGAGCTTCCCCGCTCCCCTCGGTCACATAGCAGAACTTCGGTTATCATGTACACACTGGCCCACGCCGCTGTGAGTAGGCTTCGCTTCCCACACCGCCACGACGCTGCCGTCCCTGCTGGTCAGTTCGAGTGGACGTCTAGGCGAGGTGCGGGAACTTTACCGAGCGGGGCGTCGTTATTGGAAACCAGGTGGCAATCATGCGCACACGTGGGGAGGTATAACTCTTTTGTTTTTAAACAGTTTATGTTTATGTTTTCTTTGTTACTAGGCAACGAAATTGTAGGACTATGTACACATGAATTGCAACAGGGCTCTACTCTCATAAAAGACTTGTTAGGACCTTGCATGATGAGGAAGTGTCTTCCGCTAGCTCGACCTGTTTCACACGACCCTGCCATAGTTCCAGGAAATTCAACTTGCGCACCGTTCGGTTTCCAATTCTTGTGTCACTCTTGCTCTACTTCAGTAAATAATAATGCATTCATTCATTCATCAGTAATCTGTCAAGACGACAGGTCCACAGTCTCTTCCAAAACAGTTCCTCCACTTGATGCGATCTAGAGCTTTCTCCTTCAAATGAAAATATCCTCTTCTGTCCCCAAGGTCATCCAGCATCTTCTTACGTCTTCTGGTCACTTCTATCCGCCCCTCTATCTTTCCTTCAATCTATGCGTTCATTATATAAAAATAATAATTGGAATTAATTTTTCGCGGATCCCTTACGAGGTCTCTTGAAAGAACGTGGGCGGAATAAACAAGGCCACATCAAAATTAGAATGCATACAGCTCAGATTAAAGAAATAGGAAAAGAGCGTACAATGATAGTATTAATGCAGACTTGACAGGTATTCCTGTTTGCAAAATCTTTCCCCAGCAAGATTTATCAACAAAAATATTGTTCAGATTTGTTTCATTCGTGCGTGTTGCATGCTGACGCATCCTTCTTGAATTAATCGTTGAATGTATTGCATACGAATGATGCAACTGTTCACCATGTGTAAGTTTTGAGGTTTTTATGACGGCGATTTTAATATTGTGGTAGGCTGTGATACCGTGTGGATTTATGGGAAGATGCAGAGGTTTTGAGGGAATATTCTACCTCCATTTTCGCTTTGAAATATGTAGGTTCAGGCATAGGTTTTAAGTTACAATGATGATCGTCATGTGCCAAGTAGAAGGGGTGAAGAAGAAACGAACCCGGTCTTATCCAATGGAAAGAAAAGAACAAATTAACGGAGAAGTAGTCTAAAACAAGGAGATGCTTTATCGCCACTGCTTTTCAACTTTGCTTTAAACTATGCCATTAGGAAGGTCCAGGGAAACCAGGTGGGACTGAAATTAAATGGGACACATCAGCTGTTGGCCTATGCCAATGATGTGAATCTACTGGGTGATAATGTAGATACCATAAAGAAAAACACACAAACTTTAATTGACTCTGGTAAGGAGGTTGGTCTAGAAGTAAACACAGAGAAAACTAAGTAAATGTTGCTGTCTCGTCACCAAAATGCAGGGCAAAATCATGACATAAAGATAGGTAACACATGTTTTGAAAATGTGACATAGTTCAGATATTCAGGAACGACTATAAGAAAACGAATCCTCATTCAGGAGGAAATTAAGAGGAGACGGAACTCGCGTAATGTTCAGTAATGTACCATTCAGTTCAGAAATTTTGTCTTCTCGTCTGCAGTCAAAAAACATAAAAATTAGAATTTACAAAATTATAATTTTGCCTGTGGCTCTGTATGGGTGTGAAACTTGGTCTCTGACATTAAGGGAGGAACATAGACCGAGGGTGTTCGAGAAGAAGGTGTTGAGGAAAATATTTATGACCGAAGAGAGATGAAGCGAGGAGGCTGGAGAAAATTGCATAATAAGGAGCTTCATAACTTGTACTCTTCTCCAAGTATAATATAATTAGAACGATGAAGTCAAGGAGGATGATATGGGCAGGGTATGTAGCATGAATGAAGGCGAGGAGGAATGCGTAAGATATTGGTGGGAAAGCCAGAAGGAAGCCTCTAGGAAGACCAAGACGTAGGTGGGTGAACAATATTAAAATGGATGGGATAATGTTGATTCGAATGATGTGGCTCAGGATAGTGACGAATGGAGTGTTCTTTTGAACACGGTGCTGAGAAGTTCTTGAATAGCTGCACAATTGGCGGTTTTTCAGGAAGGGCTCAGCTCCACGAGTGAGTGAGAATAGACATGCTTCAACTTGGAGTACACGTAGAGAAGGGACATGTAATCAGATATGGACTGTAAGTGTACCAAATATTCTTCATTTGCTATTCTTTACGCCCCGTTGTTCATTTTTTACAGCTGCAGATTTACTTTTGCATGGTCCATAGCTCTACAGTAGTATTTAACATTCTTACTGCATTTTCATAAATTATTTTCCAGTTACTTCATTAAATATACACACCATGTACATTAAACAGAAGTCTTAGATCTGAATTCGACTTATACTTTTATTACATATGGATGCTATGTACAACAATTTTTATTCTTTATAGTTTTCATCATGTTGTGAGTTTGATAATCGTGTAAAAATCGTGTAATTTCAATTTCAATTCTTTATTATTTATGTGCCGAGTCAACAGCCGCAAGGCCAATTACAGACAGAGCACAGTGTAGATGAAAGTAATTACATTATTGACAAACACATTATAAGTCAAAGACAAATTACAGGGAAGTACTTGGGAAAACACAATAATGAAGAAAAGTAAACAAACAAGCAAATATATGATAATAATAACAACAATAATAATTTCATTAACATAAAACTAAGTGTTATTAAGAAGTGAGAAATGAAACATAAATATTTAATTAAGAAATGAAAAGTATAGATGATAATAATAATAATAATAATAATAATAATAATAATTTTCCTGTGGCGCTACAGCCTCAGTTTGGGCCTAGGCCTACCTCCATGAAATTTAATAATAATAAGAGACTGTAAAACATGGATCCATGTTAAACAATTCAATCCGGGAACTTAGTTTTTTTCTATTATAACTCTCCTGATGATGACCTAGAAAATGTCGAAACTTGTAGCAATAGTGTCACAGTAGTATCTACGTGTATTTTGTCTTCATGTTGAAGATATTTTTATGTTGTTTTGACGGCCCAATTTTTACGGTTATGTAAAACGAGTCGTTTTATTAAGAAAATATGATATATTTCTATTTTAGTTTCCAAGAACACTTTTACACGCATAAATGACATCCCATCAGTTCGGTCGATCATAGAATGCTTTATAAAGTCTACCATTTTATAGAATTTGAGGGGAAATTCCATGGCTTAATGTTACTGTATCACACATAAAAAGCTTTTAAGTTACTGAAGCAGGGAGAAAATAAAGCCAACACTTTGCACTAGGAAGTCTGGATGAAGAATGCAAATGTCTCAGTTTCCTGCCAGTACGAAGAATTGGCCTGCTAGTTCGTCTAGGTGATTACCCGGAGTTTCTATTCCGATTCCGGAAGTTTCATTGTCATGCAGGGATATTTCTTTTCTCTGTGCATTGTCACAGAAAACTGATTCTTGTCGGCTATTTCCGCTCTAAAGCAAAACTAGGAAGCAAATTTGTTATCGATGTAGAATCATTGATTCCTTCTGAATTGAATCACACGTTCAAGCTATTGTAACTTCGTACAAAGACTCGAATAAGGAAACCTTCAGTTGTGAAAGTGCCCATCATATCATAGTAATATTGTCAATCCAAATTCCACTTGTGGCACCAGTTGTCACGTATTAGTAACTATGCAGGGGTTTGGATTGATAATTATCAATTATAATTGAATGTAGTGAACGCTTGTAACTCGTAACTACATACACGTATAACTGTAACAGTAATTTACGCCCTCAGATCACTACAACTTCATCACACTTAAAGTATCCTGTTAGTTAGTTAGTTATTGGAGAGGGTGGGTTTCCCCATGCACTGAGACCAGTATTGGTCCATTGTGCTTCCCTCTATGATATTCTACCAGTCTCTATACCCTACCGATATTGGTGCATACCATCAGTCCCGACCGAGCCAGCGAGTTCGGCCTCTACTGGCTTGGCGGTATCTATAATGCTTCCCCCATCTATCGGCGTTAGAGACTACTGTTGGGCGGGAAATGTCCTTGAATTTAGCTCAGTGGCCTCCTTTGGAGATATGAGGTTCTTTTACGTGCCGTAAAGCTACGACACGGGACCCACGGCTTAAAGTCCCTCCCAGAGGACTTGTTCCCTGAATTTTTCCGCCCTTAAAAATTCCACGACCTCCGCCGAATTTTAACCCGCGTACCACGAGTCATGAGGTGGGAACGTTACCTCTAGACTACGGAGGCCGCTAAAGTATCCTGTTAATTTACTAGTTAGATTTGAGGTTTTCACGGCGGTGACTATGAAGAAAACATTTTTTTGGGATGTGGCGCCGTGTAGATATTGTGTTAACCGACGTTTCGGAGGAACGTATTGCCTCCATCTTCAGGGTAGAAGAAAAAGAAATTCGACTCGACTCGACATTAGTCTGTTAACACCTGCTCACATTGGTTCCTCGCTCGCGGATGTTCTTTCTTTCTTCTCCCCTGACGGTTTTCCTTCTTGCGAACATTTCACGCAAATGGCATCTAGTATAAGGCATACGTGGCAACAAAGAACATCCACCGCAACGCACCCGACCACCATAGCGCATGCTCCGCATACGCTGCGCAGCTTATGGCCAAACAAAATAGATACCTTCAGGGTCTACTGATGGCACAGGAACATCCTAGGAAGGATCTACGAACAAAGGATTATAGTTAACGATTAGATTTAGGGAATGCCGTGTGTTCCATCCTACCAACTCTTAGATGTAGTTCGTAGCCCTCACAGTATACTCGTACTTACTGGCATTACTGTAAACCTTAATTTATCTTGAAGAAAGCAGTTTTCTGGGATTTGGCGCCGTGTATATGTGGTGTTAACCGACGTTTCGGAGGAATGTATCGCCTTCATCTTCAGGATATAAGGAAAAATATAAGAAATCCGCAAGCGAAGTCTGCTTTTACCGGTTCTCACGGTCTCTTCGCTTGCGGATTTCTTATATTTTTCCTTCTACTCTGAAGATGGAGGCGATACGTTCC